TGTAAACATATATTATTTATAAAACTGTTTAATTAATAAAAATATAATTAAATATAATATTAATTAAAGCAATTTATTGTTAATTTATAAATATATTAAATATATTAAAACAAATTTTAAAATAAATTCTAAAAAATCTATGACTACACATTCATAGAAAAATGCACATGGTCCGCATTTTTTTAGACGGCCCTGCAAAAAGAGAGACAAACATAGGCTCAGATGTAGTACTTTCTCACTCTAAAGCAGGGCGCCGCCTTACCCATCGGCGATGCTCAGTCCATTCTATATGTCGATGGTCGAGTCTACGAAATTTAGCCGGCTCCGAACCAGGGGCAAAGTCTTGTGGTTCAAGCAGAGAGAAAGATGAGAGCGGCCAGGCCGGCGTTTTGGCTGTTACCGTTTTTACGGGACTGCTTGAAGCGCCCCTCGCACCCGTTTTTAATATCGGAACTAACTGCACACCCATTTTCTGGCAGGGTCGATAAAGTTTGTATTTGGTGCGAGTCCGTGCTACGCCCATAATTTTCGTGTTAACACAGTATCACGTATTCATTCTGTATATGTGCGATCTTTTCTCTTTATTATATATATATATATATATATATATATGTATTTATATAATTTGTATAAAACTAAAATATAATTATTAAAATATATATATATATGTATATGTGTAATGAAATATATAAATCTTATTTTAATTAAAATAAAAAGAACGATTAATTGTTCGACCACCTGGATTTTGGAATGTAATTTTTAATATATATTATATTATATTTAATATTTATCGCCGCTTCTATTAATATGAAGTGCAATGTCAACGTGCAATAATGTACAATTATTTAAAGTTTCCATGCCTAATGTATCATGCCGGTATAAAAGAACGTCAAGTAGCATGCGTAGCCGAGCAACTAAGATGACGAGCTGAAATCGTGGACATTTCAAGTTCAAACCCCTGCCTTTTTCAGATTTTTTTTTCACTTTTTTCAAATAAGTTATTATGTGTATAAATGTGTAATAATCAATATATCATTATTTGATAATTTTTTTTGTAATGGAACAAAATAAATTATTTTTTAATTCTGCAAGGAATTTATTATAATGCAAACGCCCACACACATAATTTAGATATTCAATTTTTTTAGTTCAAATGTTTCTTGCAATCTGTATACGACAATCAGTCCACTCGCTGTGCCACAGATTGCATCGCATAATACGCTCAGAGTTATAATACGATAGAGATCGCTTTACGCTGTTTTTCCTTGAAATAAATAAATTTTACGTGTTGTGTACGCGTGTTTAGTATATTTGTTTCTTTCATATTAATTTTAACTATAATTAGTTTTTTAATTAAGATTATTTTAGTGTTAGTTGTTTATTTGTTAGTGTCCTGTTTTCTTTAATTTCGCATTTTTTAATTTTCTTTTTTTTTTGGTGTTGGTGCTAATTATTATTTTTATTTTACAATGTCGAGTAAACACCGGTTTTACGATAAATGTGTGTATTTAAATTGCACAAATATTAGGACAAAAGATGGAAAACGTTTATTTCGATTTCCATTACAAACGGGTGCGAGACATGATTTATGGTTACGCAATAGCAATGGTGAGTTTATAAAATTGATTTACTTATTTATATCAATATATAATATATATTGATATGATATATGAAACAAATATATATATATATTCTTTGTTTTTTTTAATAAAATATGTCAGATATTATGTATGTTTACGTATGGATTACGTTGAAGTGTTTCTTTGCCGCGTTTTTCTGATCTCGCCGAACGGTTCGCGAATCCTGTGCGAATAAAAAACGATGCGCGTGTGTGTGTGCGTGCGATTGTGATGATCAGTTTCAGTTCGTCTTCAACGCTTGACGAGAGAAGAGGTCCCGAACTGCTGTAAGTTTATAAAAACATATTTTTGTATAACACATTAGAACGATTTTATATTATTTTTTTTGTCTAGAAAACGTTATATTAATAACCGTTATGAAAACGATCTCGACGACGGCGACGATGCCGGTGACGACCGTCGTCGAGATCGTTTTCATAACGGTTATTAATATAACGTTTTCTAGACAAAAAAAATAATATAAAATCGTTCTAATGTGTTTACAAAAATATGTTTTTATAAACTTACAGCAGTTCGGGACCTCTTCTCTCGTCAAGCGTTGAAGACGAACTGAAACTGATCATCACAATCGCACGCACACACACACGCGCATCGTTTTTTATTCGCACAGGATTCGCGAACCGTTCGGCGAGATCAGAAAAACGCGGCAAAGAAACACTTCAACGTAATCCATACGTAAACATACATAATATCTGACATATTTATTAAAAAAAACAAAGAATATATATATATATTTGTTTCATATATCATATCAATATATATTATATATTGATATAAATAAGTAAATCAATTTTATAAACTCACCACTATTGCGTAACCATAAATCATGTCTCGCACCCGTTTGTAATGGAAATCGAAATAAACGTTTTCCATCTTTTGTCCTAATATTTGTGCAATTTAAATACACACATTTATCGTAAAACCGGTGTTTACTCGACATTGTAAAATAAAAATAATAATTAGCACCAACACCAAAAAAAAAAGAAATTAAAAAATGCGAAATTAAAGAAAACAGGACACTAACAAATAAACAACTAACACTAAAATAATCTTAATTAAAAAACTAATTATAGTTAAAATTAATATGAAAGAAACAAATATACTAAACACGCGTACACAACACGTAAAATTTATTTATTTCAAGGAAAAACAGCGTAAAGCGATCTCTATCGTATTATAACTCTGAGCGTATTATGCGATGCAATCTGTGGCACAGCGAGTGGACTGATTGTCGTATACAGATTGCAAGAAACATTTGAACTAAAAAAAATTGAATATCTAAATTATGTGTGTGGGCGTTTGCATTAATAATTAAATTCCTTGCAGAAAAAAAATAATTTATTTTGTTCCATTACAAAAAAAATTATCAAATAATGATATATTGATTATTACACATTTATACACATAATAACTTATTTGAAAAAAGTGAAAAAAAAATCTGAAAAAGGCAGGGGTTTGAACTTGAAATGTCCACGATTTCAGCTCGTCATCTTAGTTGCTCGGCTACGCATGCTACTTGACGTTCTTTTATACCGGCATGATACATTAGGCATGGAAACTTTAAATAATTGTACATTATTGCACGTTGACATTGCACTTCATATTAATAGAAGCGGCGATAAATATTAAATATAATATAATATATATTAAAATTACATTCCAAAATCCAGGTGGTCGAACAATTAATCGTTCTTTTTATTTTAATTAAAATAAGATTTATATATTTCATTACACATATACATATATATATATATTTAATAATTATATTTTAGTTTTTATACAAATTATATAAATACATATATATATATATATATATATATATATATAAATAAAGAGAAAAGATCGCACATATACAGAATGAATACGTGATACTGTGTTAACACGAAAATTATGGGCGTAGCACGGACTCGCACCAAATACAAACTTTATCGACCCTGCCAGAAAATGGGTGTGCAGTTAGTTCCGATATTAAAAACGGGTGCGAGGGGCGCTTCAAGCAGTCCCGTAAAAACGGTAACAGCCAAAACGCCGGCCTGGCCGCTCTCATCTTTCTCTCTGGTTCAAGTCTACGAAATTTAGCACGGACTCGAACCAGGGGAGCAAAGTGTGTCGGTAAGGGGCAAAGTTTCTATCGCACGAAGATGGCGGTCTCTTCTTTAGCAGGCCTTTGGCGATCTGTCTAATTAATCTGTGATCCAGACCTTTGGCGATCTGTCTATTAATCTGTGCATAGCACCTTTTTGTAAAATAAAAATGTAAAAATTTCAATTTTATCATTATTATTTATTTTAATAAATAAAAGATACAAAAAAAATTATAAATAAAAATTGTATTTTGTCAACAAATTTTTATATGAATTTTATGAGACTAGGCGAAAAATGATAATACGATTTACTTTCTATATATAATATTATCGATGAAACTGTAAAATGAAACTTTTACGCCCTCTATTGTGAATAACTCACGATGGGCTTTATTTATTTACTATTTGGAACAAATTAATATTCCAAAATAATCCGTCATAAACGAGATTTTATTACGATTACAAATACTTATATTGCTTCTACGATATTGGAAGGTAATATCGTTAACGATGATTTACTTTTACGACAAGACGTGCTTTTTTAATGCGTTTGGATCATGAGATTATGTCATGCAAAGTACATACATTTTCGGAGGTTTTTTTAATAACAAGTGACAATTTATTTATTATTTATTTTTATTATGCAATGGGATACAATTAGTTTCAATTAATACTTTGAAAGGTTGTTCCAATTGTTCTCTTATTAGTGTATAGCATTATTCATTTTGTCTAATTGGTTAGAAAAATAGATTAGTCTGAGAGGTAATTTTTTTATTTCTATCTTTATATCTTATCTTATTAAGACCTAGTATTATTTTTTAAATATCTAAAATAAGAAGTAGAAATTATTTTTTTCTCAAATTTGAGTAGTTACAATTTTCTTATATTTATATTCTGATATTTGATTATATCAATTCAATTACTAATAAATACACAAAATATGAAAAAAATATATATTCTCAAATAATTTATTTAAGAGAAATTTGAACATAAAATATATACAGAGCACACACAGACTCTATACTTTCTCACAATTAATTAACTTGATCTGATGACTTGGCTTAATCTTGATGACATATTTTACTATAATTTTCAGCAGCTATGTCCAATGAAGAGCGCTTAAGAAAGCTCTTATCAGATCTAGGAAAGGCTACCCTTCGTGGAGTCCGAAAGTGCCCAAAATGTGGCACTTACAATGGCTCGCGTGGTCTCTGCTGTAAGAATAAATATTGTGATGCTGTGTTCAAAGAACCTGGCGAAAAACGGAAATTATCTACAGAAGCATGCAAACTCATCACAGGCTCGTCAGCACAGGTGTTCTCTGTACGAATCAGAGACAAAGGGCCTGATTATCGGGGTTTTGTACAGTTACCTTTGATAAATGCTAATGATATTACAACATTCATTTCGCAAACAACTGCATTATGTTTTGTGGACAGTTGCGAGAGGAGTTTTGACACCAGTGTACTCAAGTGTCATGTAATTATATAGTTTCCATGAAGATATATTTTTTATGATTATATTTTTTAATGTTATATTTTTATGTATATATATACATATTTTTTTTAGGAAAAAGATTATTCAGATACTGTATCTACATGTCAGCACATTCAAGCAGCATTAAAATGCTATGCAGAAGCACAGCCATTAACTTTAAAAAATTCTATTCTGTCATCATTGAATGTAAATAATGAAACAAGGCGAGAGATATGGTTATTAGCAACAGAAACTTCTGGTCCTTTAGTACAAAGAGTCTCAAAGAATATAATGGCAGTAAAATGTAAAGCTTCCCCAAAACATCCACTAGGATATCTTCATTTTTCTTTTTATTAGTAAATTAAAGGATAGAATCGAGCATCGTTATTTTTGCAGTTGTACTACATTTAAAGTAAGTAATATCTGTTTATAATATAATTTTTAAGTTAAATATTGATAAAAAAATTGTAAATATTTGATTCAGATTTAATTTTTAATTAATTATTTGAACTTTCTATTTTTAATATAAATTATACTTTTAGTTAAAGAATATTTTACTAATTATTAATATATTACTAATTATAATTAATCTATTTACAGGGTACGATAAAGACAGGAGGAGAAAAAGTAGATGGTACTTTGTCACAACCAAAACGATGTGTGCACTTTTATGCATGTATTTGTGCTTTTGCTAGTGATCCAAAGTTATCAGAAGAATTTAGTTATTATATAAATCTAGATCAAAAACAATTAAGTATAGATAAATCTTTGGCAATTGTACCACAAACTGAAGAAGAAGATAAGATTATTGGAATTGGTAAGATTATATGTGTATGTTTTACATTTAAAGATTTATTTTATATATCTTTTTAATGGTAATGATATAAAATTTTAGATCTTGACAGTTTAACCACAGATGAAACTGATACACATCTGTTAATTTTTCGCGATGATACTTTAACTGTACAAAATTTAGATGGAAATAGATTAGATTTGGACTCTATGAATCTAGATTCTTCAATTTTACCACACAGTATTGTTGAAAATATAGAAGTAGAATGCGATCGCAGTTTATTGGATGATAACAACATAATATCACAAGTAAGTTGTTAAAAATATGTATTTATACTAAGAGATCTAGTATATTTATTACAATAAAATATTCGAAAATAATTTCTATAAGTTATTGATAATGCAATTTTATTATTACACAGGTTCATAATTTAGAAGTAATTGACCAAAATACTGTTCAACTGGGAGGAAATGCTATAAAAATATTAGATGATCAAGGGACAATTGATACAAAATATAATATACTTAATCAGTGCATATTAAATGATAATATAAAAATATTAGATACAAGTACCTTAAAGGTTCTTGATGCAAATACTGCAGTTCTAGATGTGAATAATGCAAAACTCATTGATAATAATGCTATCCTAAATAACAGTGGTGTTAAGATAATTGACAAAATACAATAGTGCATTATGATAATAAAAGTATAGCAAATTCAGAGAGTACTGCGATGCAACCAGTAATTTCTACAAAACGAAAGAGGGACGAAAAGCCCGCGAACAGTAATAGCTTAAATTTAAACTCGATCGAGTCGAGAAAGACGAAGACAAAATCGCAAATTACCAAAAAATATCAAAACACTTGCGACGATTTGGACGAGAGTAACACGAGCTTGCCGTTTATCAAGTGGCTTGCATCTATAACCGAACGAATAAATCAGACAATGCATTTCCAATTTGATGGCAAACCCGATCCCCTGGTGTTTCACGTGCCGCAGATATTCTTTGATTGTTTACGCGAACGAATATCATGCGGTGGTAAAAAGAAACGTTTACCCAATTCAACAACAGCGTTTGTTAGAAAGGACGGAGTACCTTTGGGAACATTTACCAAATACACGTGGCAGATTACGAATATTTTGCATGTAAAAAGTATTTTCGAGACATCGTACATACCTCTGGAGATTACGAGAAGTTTTGTGCAGAACGCGGACGGAACATATGAATTATATAAACGAGAGGAGACTGAAATAGATCGTTACAAAAAGACGAATAATAATGCGTTGATTAAGCCGTTAGAGTTGAAAACATATTTGAAAGTGGGTAAGTTGATGGACTAGAATAAAATTGATCGTTCAAGAATCTAAATAAGTTATCGAAATTTATTAAAAATTAAAATTATTTGTCACAGAATTTGTTATTAATAAGAGACGACAATATTGATGTAATATTTTTATTTAATATACTTCATACATATATTGTTTTCTGTTTTAGGAAATACTTCACCAAATCAAGTCGAACCTACACCATTTTTGATAGAATGGATACCAGATATTTTGCCAATTTCAAAGATAGGTGAACTTAGGATAAGGTTTGAATTCGGCCATGTAAAAAATGAAACTAGTCATAAATGGAGAAAAATTGCTGTTTCTAAAAATTATTAAAGCTTTCACTTTCGAAATGTCGATTTTTTAACAGATTTTCACTTTTTTATCATGAAAAATTAAAGAAATATCTGATCACTAAGAAATTACGAGAGAGAAGCAAATATTAAATGTGCAACACTTAATTTTAGAATAATTAATAGAATGACTGTCTATTGAGGGGGTCGCGAACCCAATGTTAGAATTTAAATAAATTATATTGATGGAATTAAATTATTTTTAAGAAATAAGTAAATTTTAATTGAACTATATACTCATTGATTAAACAAATGATAAGCATAATATCTCTCTGTAGCGCAAACTTTAACTAACATTTTAAATCACTAATTCAAAGACTGATATGTAATTATTAGTGGTACATAGAGTTGATCTATAAAACATTAATATTACTTTACAATTACTGAAAATTGTAATTTTTTTTATTATTGTATTACTTATGCAGTGATACATAATTGCCAATGTCAGTTGTCCTATCAACTACTTACTATGTAGTTTTTACAAATATTTACATTTTTAATTTATTTTAACGAGAAGAATATTGTGCGCAAGTATCACTATTATAAATTGTTAATATTATCAATAATTGCCCTTTATGCTGTAGCATTTGAAATATTGTGATATATATATATTGTAAAAAAAATATATATATAAACTTTAAATTTTATGTTATACATATGTAGAAAGCATGTATTTATATTATTTAACAACATTGGCTTGTGTGCATATGTTATATTTGGATTTGAAAATAAATTATATATAAATAAAGTATATTATATATAAGTTACATATATATATATATTATATACTACATATATATATATGAAATTTTATCATAAATACATATTAGATATATAATTAATCTTTGGTATTATATCTACTTCCCATACATATAATAGATTAAATTTTTAAATTCCAGATAAATGTTATTTATAATTTTTATTCATAATAATAGTATATAAGTTGTCATTTCAATATATTCTCTTTAAGTTATATTATTTTATTTTCCATATGTAATAGATTAAATCTTTCAAATTATAAATTTCCAATTTATAATTTTTATATATTTATCATTATTTTATTTATTGATAATATTAAATTTCAATATTCTTAAAGTTATTATTTATCATTTTTCAGAATAAGTAAACAGCTCTAAAATCGAATATTATTGAATTAAATAAAAAAAAAAATTTAAAAAATTATTGATGAATTATGTGTCAAAATAGTCGAAATTTGCATAAATACATAATTAAATTGCATTAAAAAATTGATCAATCAGGCGTGATCAATATATAGGCAGCTCTATTGCTACTTCTATTTGTCCAGACAAATGATTGGTTGATTTTTCTGCGCGCATGCGCATCTATGTTAATTTCTGTGGATAGGCCCTAATAGCAGCACTGCTTCTATAACTATTCTATGCTCGCGCGTAATCGGAGGTTTTACCGCGCAAAAGTATCAAGTAAAATGTCTGCAGGTTTGTCCGCGAGAAGTTTGAAGAAGAAATCCAACGAAATTAATCCTTTAGAGCTGCCATCGCATCTTCGCAAGTTGCAAGATATCAATTTAAGAATGTATTGAGTAAGATATGTCAATATTATAAGTATATTCTCCTATCATTTCTGATAACCATAAGCTCGAAAATATTTAACGAAAGAGAGAGAGAGAGAGAGAGAGAGAGAGAGAGAGAGAGAGAGAGAGACAAGAATCTTTATTAATCTTCCCTAATTTCTTGATTTTTTCAGGATAAGCGGCTTGAAAAAGTACTAATAGTTTCTTCAATAGGCATACAGTAAAGCAGTTAAATATCGGTCTCGTACAACAATAAGTAAGTCCTGAATAAATAATATTGAATAATTATTATTAATTCGCTACGTTAATTAGGATCCACGATATTACATGTCCCGATATTTTTATATTTTTCTGATTTAAATATCGCATAAATTTTCAGAAATCATTACAAATAAAATGCGATTCCATTTATATATATATTTATAAAATTCTACCTTTTATAATAAAATATAAATTTTATCTGTGTGATTAGCTCACATACATATATATATATATATCGTTTGATACTTCGAGAATCGCAACATTGATTTTCGATATATCTCGAATCGCGCCGCCATTTGCTTATATATATATATATATATATATATATATAAAGTGATGTATTCACAAGTCCTAATCAAGTGAATCTCGCGCGCGAAAATATTTATCTCGCAAAGTGTTTGTCCCGAAAAAAACGTATAATTATTATTGCGTCCACCAATATATGTGCATATATATATCATTCAAACCATCGGCGTTTCGCTTCTATCAAAATATCGATGTAAATATTATTTTCTTTCCAAGGTACAGTAAAAGTGTAATTAGTGCACGATCATCGTCGTAAACACGCGACACCTACACTTGATCGATGCCCGCAGACGCGTTTTTAGCTGACGAACTGTCAGAATTTTCTTGCGTCATTCGCGGCTAACATCGCTAAAGTGCGCAGAGCAGCAAAGTGCGGTGAATTGAGATTTTTCTCGATTTTGAAACGTCATTCCGCGTGCGATTTCGCACCATCGGTTCGCGATTTTGTGTGCCCCGGGTGGGAGTCTCTCGCAGCCGGAAGCGTGCGTCGCCGGAAGTCAACTCTGACGTAGTAGGTCGAGCGAGGAAGCGTACACTTCCATTTTCTCGAGCCTCACGACGAAGGAACACGTGCTTCGTTGCCGGTTGCCGCGGACACGCATTTTGCGCTCGTGCGAGAAATCGCCGTGGGTGATTTCTCTTTCAAGCGACTCTTCTACGCCTCTCCGTCGCCTCTCACCGTCCTCGACACACGACAAGGAAGTTTAAAGGATGAATCCCGAGAAGCTCAAGAAGCTGCAGGCCCAGGTGCGAATCGGCGGCAAGGGTACACCCCGACGCAAGAAGAAGGTGAGTACGAGTAATAGTCCGCGAAAAATCGAATTTTCTCATTTAGACGCGATTATATTACTGACACCACCGTCCTTACTTTGATGATTTTCACGCCGAAACGATTAGGAGGCGCGTGACAACGCGAGATTCTATTTTAAGAACAATGAACGCGGAATTGATTAGTTGTTTGCTTCTCCTTTTGCATTTTGCCTTGTTTTGTGATGCATTCTTCGCGGATGTCATAAATATTTATTTATAAAACTGAATCGAGTCTCTCGGTGTAATTATTTTCTACTCTGACTCGTTGAAGTAAATAAACATTAATTTTGATATTAATCGAAGAACGATCATGCTACATGGATTTTAATCCAATATATTGAAAAGGAAGGAAGTAACGTATGCACACAGTATATGGAAACAGTGTTAAGTAAAGTACTAACATTTTATTTAATTATCACTGAGAATAGAATATTGTTGTTTTCGTGTTTTTCTTTCATTTGTCACTTTTGCAGGTTGTACATGCAACTGCTGCCACAGATGATAAAAAGTTACAGAGTTGCTTAAAGAAGCTTTCTGTAAATACAATCCCAGGCATAGAAGAAGTAAATATGATCAAAGATGACGGAACAGTGATTCACTTCAATAATCCAAAAGCTCAGGCCAGTTTGTCTGCTAACACATTTGCCATCACTGGCCATGGAGAAAATAAACAGATAACAGAGATGTTACCAGGAATATTGAGTCAACTTGGTCCCGAGGGTCTGACACAGCTGAAACGATTAGCTAGTACGGTTGCTGGCAGTGCGGTCGGTAAAGCCACATTGGAAGAGGATGATGAGGTGCCTGATTTAGTGGAGAACTTTGATGAAGCCAGCAAAGAGGAGGTAAATATATAATTAAAATAATGTCTAATAATAAGTCTGTTATCGTTTTCTTTCCAATGTCGAGTAAGTAGACAATCTCTGAACTAGTGTAGCCAGTTTAGCTGAAAAGAACAGATCTAATTATATATCAAATATTAAAATACTGCAATATATATTTATCAGCTTCTAATATATATATATATATATATATATATATATATATATATATATATGTATGTATGTATGTATATGCATGTATGTATTATATTATTTATATTATTCTCTATTTGGATGTTTCTTTGATATTATTTTAACAAGCTAAAAATATCATCAAATATAAGTTAACATTATTTTACATAATACATAACACATAACTTTTACAAATTAGTAAAATAAATATAAAAGTAATATAAAGCAAAATATCAATTTAATACAAAATAAGATTAAATTATTCTATTGTTTTATTTATTTATTTATTGTAGTATTTAAAATATATAAATTTTTTATTTAAAATATTTTAAGGTTGCTCCAAAAAAGAAGTAGATGAAAATGATAAACCCAATGGCGAGAAGAAAGATGCCATTATTATTGAAGAGAAGAAAGAAGCTCCATTAGCTACATCTGAGGCTTAAAGAAAAGATTATTGAGGTAATTGCTATAAATAATTATTATTTATATTTTTATGTATGTACTAATAATAATAAAATAAAATTTATTCTATATTAATTTAAGAAATCTGAAATTTAATATGCAATTTTGCTTTTTTTTAGATGTTTCATACAACAGTTAAAGTTGTAATTGATGAGTCGAGAAGCGCGAGTTGCAAAAGCAATGAAGCATAACTATACATACGTTATAGATACTTGACATAAACCCTATGATACTTGATACTATAAGTAACAGTTGACAAGAAATAAATAAGCTGTTACAAAAATCAAAAAGATTTTCCAACGATATTATTTTATTATTTTGGTGCTACCACTAAAGATAATCTTTGCTTCGAATTTAGAGATGTTCTCATTCATCCCCGAATTAATATCGTGTGACGCTTTAACTGTTTAAAATGTCAATGCGACTTGAGCCTGTAGCTCAATCACAGAATTATAACAAAGATCTAATATGCTATAAATTTGTTATTAATACAATGATAGAAATGCATGTGCAAACTTCTTTTTTTCAGAAATTACATTGAATTTTATGTAATTACGTTACATTGATTTTTATTTTATCCTAATCAGGTAAGATATATCTTACAGAGATTTATTATTTATAAATAATACAATATAAATTGATAGTATAAAAGAAAAATACGATCATGAGTTACATAAAACATTAATCTAATCTGTAATGATGTTATAAATATGCAGAATGTCCCATTTCTATCATACTTTTACTTGCGTATGTTTTGACGAATTTGATTTCTAGCAAAATCTTTAATATTAAAATTTTTAATATTAATAATTACAGCAAATCGAAATGTTTTATATTTAATGTGTTCTAAAAATATAAAGAACTAATTTCACATTTATGAAAAGTAAAATAAGTGAAGGACGATATGACAGAATATTTTGTACGAGACATTCTGTATAAAATATGAAAATTTATAAAGAAAATAAAAGGAGCAAAAATAGAGTGGTATAATTGATATATTTCTATTTTAATTGAATAAAATTTATAATTTTGCGAAAAACGCAAAAACTTTTGCAACATCTAGCTCGGAAACTGTAATATTTTGTAATGTAACTTACCTATTCTCTATCCTATAATAAATTCATTTGCTGGAAGCGCGGTTTTCTACTTAAAGATTTCGCATTTTCCGATGCATTGTACGATATGATAGCAATCTGTCGATGTTTATATTTTCATTTATAGCCTAGCTCTGTAAGAATAGTGTAAAATGGAAAATATATAAAAAAAAATTAATTATACACCTGTTCTGATGCACTTTTCTACCTCGGCACATTTTGCACCTTTCAACATAATAAATTTTATATATAATTCAATATATAAAAATTAAATCTTTATTTGAACTTCTATTTTTTGTATATTTAAATAAAATGCTTTAAAATAAAGTCTCATGCAAACAAAAGATTTTTTGATTATTTAATAATAAATAATTTGTATGATCTATTAACAGCTATATATTATTATAAGAGAAAAAAGATATAAAAATTAATGTGTGTGTGAAAGTCATGTTTATATATTTAAATAAAATAGTAATAATTCGACAAAATTTAGATAAATTCACATGACAGAATAAATAATAATGATTGTAATATTGAATTATAATAATACATGATCGTAATATTTCCATTTTTCTTGTAGCGTATTTTGTTTGCTGACTTCAATTTTTTTTAATCTTTGAATTCTTTTGAACTTTAAATATTTTTATGAAAATAAATTGTCTTAATTTGCTGAAAAATAATAATTACAATGAATTTTTGCAAGATATATACAAATGATAACTTAATTGCTTAATATATATATATGTACAGAAGAGAGACGCAATAATAATTTTAAAAATACGGACATTGCTTAAATCGAAAAGGATGAAACGAAATTAAGTTAACAATAAGTGGAAATGTCAGATGATTGTTCTCTCTCGTATTCAGTCATCATGATATTTATTTTAGAATGTTCGTAGTTTCGTTCGTCGATTCATGATTATGCATTAGCATACGATTTTGAGTTCGAGGTCATACATAAAAAGTTTACGATCTACTATGTACAGAGTGGAGAGTGTGTGTTACGTTGACTGCGTGTGTGCGCAGTTATACATATCAGAGAATTACATTTATTATTATTACGATTTACGATTTGTTTAGACTTCGGTCTAAGAAGAAAAAGTAATCGATTGTGTTACGCGTAAAGTGTACCACCTTCTTTATGTTTTGCTCGTATTACAAAACTAAAATATTTTTGTTATAATCTGAAGCGGAAAAATAATAAAATTTCTCTAGTATCAAAAATATTTCGATAAAATTATGTTTCTTGTGTAAAAATTATATGTCCCATCAACACCATCAAACCTTTGGATAAAACTCATTTTAACGATGTGCGTCGTCTTGTTTATTATTAATCATAATAATGATTGTTAATTTATTAATAATCGTACGCAGAGTCCCCTCGCTTCTCCAAATCAAATTCTAATAATACGTTTTTTTCGACAGATGTATAAGATCTTTTTCTCTTTATTAAATTTCTTTCTAAAAATTTTAACAGACTGAAATTATAAGATTAATTACTAATCAATTATAATATATATAAATATATTAATATAAATTTAACATATATAAGATAGGCAATAAGAGCCAAATCGCGGATGACAGTGCGTTATTCTAAACGAAACTAAAATTTTTTCGTTAGAATTAAATACCTGTGCACAAGGCACCAAATTTTTACTTGGACACGGCCAAGATATAAAATTGGAATAATCTCTACAAGAGATTTTTAATTCCATGTATCCCCTATTCCCCCTAAAGAAATAAAGTGCGAGAGAAAAATATAGATCCGAAAGTCGCAGAATCGGGAATCGAACCCGAGACCTTTCGCTTGCCGGGCGACTGCTCTTCCAACTGAGCTATTCAGATCCTTTCGATTCTATACTTTTCTCTGTTATATATATTAATGTTGGTAAATAAACGCCTTTAAGCCAGCGTGTATAAATTAAGAGTTTAACTAGGCTCTGTAATATATAAATATAAATTTAACATATATAAGATAGGCAATAAGAGCCAAATCGCGGATGACAGTGCGTTATTCTAAACGAAACTAAATTTTTTCGTTAGAATTAAATACCTGTGCACAAGGCACCAAATTTTTACTTGGACACGGCCAAGATATAAAATTGGAATAATCTCTACAAGAGATTTTTAATTCCATGTATCCCCTATTCCCCCTAAAGAAATAAAGTGCGAGAGAAAAATATAGATCCGAAAGTCGCAGAATCGGGAATCGAACCCGAGACCTTTCGCTTGCCGGGCGACTGCTCTTCCAACTGAGCTATTCAGATCCTTTCGATTCTATACTTTTCTCTGTTATATATATTAATGTTGGTAAATAAACGCCTTTAAGCCAGCGTGTATAAATTAAGAGTTTAACTAGGCTCTGTAATATATAAATATAAATTTAACATATATAAGATAGGCAATAAGAGCCAAATCGCGGATGACAGTGCGTTATTCTAAACGAAACTAAATTTTTTCGTTAGAATTAAATACCTGTGCACAAGGCACCAAATTTTTACTTGGACACGGCCAAGATATAAAATTGGAATAATCTCTACAAGAGATTTTTAATTCCATGTATCCCCTATTCCCCCTAAAGAAATAAAGTGCGAGAGAAAAATATAGATCCGAAAGTCGCAGAATCGGGAATCGAACCCGAGACCTTTCGCTTGCCGGGCGACTGCTCTTCCAACTGAGCTATTCAGATCCTTTCGATTCTATACTTTTCTCTGTTATATATATTAATGTTGGTAAATAAACGCCTTTAAGCCAGCGTGTATAAATTAAGAGTTTAACTAGGCTCTGTAATATATAAATATAAATTTAACATATATAAGATAGGCAATAAGAGCCAAATCGCGGATGACAGTGCGTTATTCTAAACGAAACTAAATTTTTTCGTTAGAATTAAATACCTGTGCACAAGGCACCAAATTTTTACTTGGACACGGCCAAGATATAAAATTGGAATAATCTCTACAAGAGATTTTTAATTCCATGTATCCCCTATTCCCCCTAAAGAAATAAAGTGCGAGAGAAAAATATAGATCCGAAAGTCGCAGAATCGGGAATCGTGTCCAAGTAAAAATTTGGTGCCTTGTGCACAGGTATTTAATTCTAACGAAAAAATTTAGTTTCGTTTAGAATAACGCACTGTCATCCGCGATTTGGCTCTTATTGCCTATCTTATATATGTTAAATTTATATTTATATATTACAGAGCCTAGTTAAACTCTTAATTTATACACGCTGGCTTAAAGGCGTTTATTTACCAACATTAATATATATAACAGAGAAAAGTATAGAATCGAAAGATCTGAATAGCTCAGTTGGAAGAGCAGTCGCCCGGCAAGCGAAAGGTCTCGGGTCGATTCCCGATTCTGCGACTTTCGGATCTATATTTTTCTCTCGCACTTTATTTCTTTAGGGGGAATAGGGGATACATGGAATTAAAAATCTCTTGTAGAGATTATTCCAATTTTATATCTTGGCCGTGTCCAAGTAAAAATTTGGTGCCTTGTGCACAGGTATTTAATTCTAACGAAAAAATTTTAGTTTCGTTTAGAATAACGCACTGTCATCCGCGATTTGGCTCTTATTGCCTATCTTATATATGTTAAATTTATATTTATATATTACAGAGCCTAGTTAAACTCTTAATTTATACACGCTGGCTTAAAGGCGTTTATTTACCAACATTAATATATATAACAGAGAAAAGTATAGAATCGAAAGGATCTGAATAGCTCAGTTGGAAGAGCAGTCGCCCGGCAAGCGAAAGGTCTCGGGTTCGATTCCCGATTCTGCGACTTTCGGATCTATATTTTTCTCTCGCACTTTATTTCTTTAGGGGGAATAGGGGATACATGGAATTAAAAATCTCTTGTAGAGATTATTCCAATTTTATATCTTGGCCGTGTCCAAGTAAAAATTTGGTGCCTTGTGCACAGGTATTTAATTCTAACGAAAAAATTTTAGTTTCGTTTAGAATAACGCACTGTCATCCGCGATTTGGCTCTTATTGCCTATCTTATATATGTTAAATTTATATTTATATATTACAGAGCCTAGTTAAACTCTTAATTTATACACGCTGGCTTAAAGGCGTTTATTTACCAACATTAATATATATAACAGAGAAAAGTATAGAATCGAAAGGATCTGAATAGCTCAGTTGGAAGAGCAGTCGCCCGGCAAGCGAAAGGTCTCGGGTTCGATTCCCGATTCTGCGACTTTCGGATCTATATTTTTCTCTCGCACTTTATTTCTTTAGGGGGAATAGGGGATACATGGAATTAAAAATCTCTTGTAGAGATTATTCCAATTTTATATCTTGGCCGTGTCCAAGTAAAAATTTGGTGCCTTGTGCACAGGTATTTAATTCTAACGAAAAAATTTTAGTTTCGTTTAGAATAACGCACTGTCATCCGCGATTTGGCTCTTATTGCCTATCTTATATATGTTAAATTTATATTTATA